AGCCAAGGCAACAAAGCCAAGGCAACAAAGCCAAGGCAACAAAGCCAAGGCAACAAAGCCAAGGCAACAAAGCCAAGTAGTGCGGTGCTAAGGAGCATCTTGACGTTCGGAGACGGTGTGAATAGTCTTTTTGAGGACTGCAGGCGTATGGGATGCTTTGATGCCGGGTTGCTTGTTGAAGATGAAGATATCAACCAATGCCTGTACCAAAGTCGGGGGCCTGATGGCGCCATAGCAACCGAAGGCGGTCCAGTCATTCAGTCACCGGCATCTTATTGTCATATCAGGACCATTGCACAATAGCAAGCGCGGACACGGTGAAGAAAAAGAAGTGATTGGCCTGAAGGTGGCTGCATCTATGGCTGGCTGCCACTTGCTCTCTCCAGTCGGTTCAGTCCTTGTGATGATGTGGACGTAGGAAGGTGCTAGGCATCTGTCAATACCCAGACGTTTGGGCTAAGGCAAGCGGCAGGACCAAGCATTGAGACAGCTCTCTGCATGTGCAGAGCCAGTCATTTCTGAGACCTAGCCCAGCTGTTTCGCTACTTACTAGGTAAGGTACCGTAAGTATGCTACCTTGAAAGAGGTTCTCTTGCAATGGAAAATATCAAGACACACCAGAGGAAGCAACACATCTTGCCCTTGCAATAATGAGGCCTACCGTATTTGCTTAGAACATGAAGGGTGTCGGCTAGTCATGTCTCTAGCCGCGATGAATGCAACCATAAAGTTCTGCAAGTTGATGCGTTGGCAATCATCGACTCGGAACTTCGGATACTGGCTAACAAGTTCTAATTGCCGCGTCGCATCGGTGATGCGCGAATAGATATACTGCCGTCAATCAGTGTTTGGCTGCACACCGATTCACGAGACCTCGATAGCGGTTACGACTGACTGGACCCGGGCTAACAAAGGACTGGAGGTCTTGACGCGGGAGTTGGCTTGACTGAGGACTCGCCTTAGGCTTGAACCCTGAATGACGCACCTAGCGGCTTATCGGGGCCCGTCTGACCTTGCTCGTCCCTCACCACTCACGATAAGAGGTCTAGCGGGCGCGATAAGCGCCACGCGGCAGTGCTGACCGAGTCTGATAGCTTTTCCCAAGCCTCAGGACGACAAGCTGGGGCCGAAGGATCCACGATGACCTCATTTCGTCGGCTGTGAGCTACTGACTGATTCCCTCCATGGCTCCGTCAGTGCACCGTCAGTGCACACGAGCCCACACCGGTGCCAGACGCCTGGATGTATCTTAAGACCCTCTCTGCGTACGTAGTCGTCTTCTCAACGAGCTGATCCTCGCCCACTGAGTCGAATGGCTCTACATCTGCATTTCGTCAGGGTAACTTACTCGTCACCAACTAACATTGCGAATCTACTGATAAGCGATCGAATCGACTTCAAGACCTGCATGTGGGCTTGGCAACCCACACAAGCTTGCATTTGAGATATCCGACAGCGCAGACGAGACTAAGGTAGTCTAATATACGTCAGCCGAGCCGTCTGCCAATTACATTTGGAGTTCAGACCAATTGCAACGGCCCGCCCACTCACATACGGGGACAGCCTCAAGAACTACACTGCAGCCTCCACAGGCGGCAGAAGAGCCGGCAGAAAGAGTCCAGTCTTGTCCCGTTTGCGACCGCCAGTCGAGGGGGCTGCCACGCTTGGCGGCGACTGCTACATAGGACCTGGAATCGCCAGGTACCACAATCAAACAGACGTGCACTCCTGGGAAGCCTTGATCATCCAATCGCAAATCTTGTGCCAGCTGGCCACCATGTTGACCGAACAGCAACATGTCTCCGTCGAGAAGCCTGGTGTACTCAAAAGACTGGTTGGGCGTGCTCGCAGCAAGTCTGATCTATCACGCAAGGAAAGTGTCAGCAGTATCGCCTCCAATGCCAGTGATCTCTCGCGCTCGACCACAGGTGGCTCCGTCGCTTCCACGACGGAACGCAGTCGTGGCCGCGTGCCCTCATTCAAGACGCCGTCATTCAAAGCCGGATCTTCGAGCAACTCATCCGCGTCTCCTCCAGCTCACAAAAAACTCTCAGTGCCGTCAGCGCGTCCACACCCCGAGGCTGGTCTGTCGCGCGATCTCTGGGACGAGGCATACGACGCCTTGCGGCTTGATCCCAGTACTGCATCTTTGGTAGTGACGTACGAGAGCATTATATCTCAAGAGCTACCCGAAGATGTGAAGTCAGTGGTACGTGGGACATTGTCCCCTTCAGATGGCAACACGGATCGCAGACTCGATCTGATGACCGCAATTGCAACGGCAGGTCTAAGCAAACGCCGCGGTAGCAAGAGCAGCGAAGTGGATGACTCGACGCCACGGACCTTGGAACACACCAAGCGTATAGTGGAGAGCCAACTTGACGACTTCCCGTCCACGGCCCTTGCCTGGGCTGGCTTGTGCACCTTGACACCTGTAAGTGCCGTGCCCTCATTGTCCCTTCCGGGTGCTCATCAGTCAATGCAGCTTCTTCTTGACCCAATTCTTGGCCATGCCCAGTTTCAGCGAGGGATGGTCCATATCATTGGGCGCATCCCTTGGTATATGCATCTCACTCACCTTATGCAATGCCCTTCATGGGTCGACGCGGGTGACTTTGAGGCGCGGCAACACGATTTTGCCAAGCGTCGGGAACGCTCGCGGGACGCAATCACAAAGATGTACAGAAGAGTCTTGGAGTTCGAAATGAACTGCGTGTGTGCCGCGGCCAGTGCTTGGAACTCGGTTGCTAAACACGCTGTCCGATGGAAGACCATTGACAAGATGGTGGACGGGATATTTGAGAGCGATGAGACGGCCAGGGAGTTACTGAATGAACTCGTTGTTGAGGGCCCCCGGCGAGAAAAGATGGCAACGCGGGACGTTGACCTTGACGTTGATGCTCTGGACAAGCTACGGCAGCAGGAAGTGGATGACTTGAAGATACCGGAGGACCGACCACTGTGAAAATCTGCGTGTTGACCTTGTTTTTTTTTTGAGCTTAACCTCACGGAGCATTAGATTTACAACATGCATTTCCCAAAGTAGTCCCTGATAGAGACCATACGCTCGTATTGCGATTGACTCCAGATTCGACAATCGCACGCGAAGAATACCCCATGTTTTCAAGATAGGCCGTGAGATGTAACAATGTGTAGGTGAACATCTTATATACGAAATGTAGCAAGAGTATTGGCTGGCTCTCGCCATGATCATGTACTGATGGGGGGCGCTCCAATCCAGGTATCGTCAGACAAACAACCTGCCTGACGAGAGCATCCGGAACTTGAAATGGCACAGTACTACGTTTCAATGTTCCAGGTACGAAGAAACCTTCGCTTCATGTTTCTCGCAGATCTTCGATCTGGGAAATTTGGTGCCAATTTCAGAACCAGTTGAGGCTTAAAGAAACCGTGTTTAGACGCGGTTGCAGGAACTGGTTCAGGCGTCTTTGGCCTAGGTACTGTGTGCTCAATGCGGCAATGGCAGAGCCAAGGTGTTTCCTGCGGCCAGCATGCGCGCGGTAACGCGCCTTGAGGTTTGCTCTATACCTTAGTAGAAGGTCGAACTGGCGTGGGCTTATCCGTAGATCTAGCCTCCAAGCAGGCGCTTGCTTTTTGGTGCATACCTGCGTTAAAGCAATATCTTTTACGTGTACGAACCTTTTTATGCTTCTATCAGGGATGGTACACTACAGGCTCACCTCTTCGCTTGCAGGGGTGGACCAAAGTGCCTGCGTCGGACCGTCGTCAGTCCAAGCGCGTGCGAGCGCGTCTGTGGATCTTTCGACATTTGAAGCTTTGATTCAATCGCGCACAGCAATTTCCATCGACTCGCCTGGACGACTCTGGATCTGGCGACTCCGGCCCCTCCACAGCGCTTTTACTGTCAACATTAGACTGCCGTTGCACAGATACCGGCGCAATGCGCCTCATCAAGCCTGCATGGCTGAGCCATAGCGGCGAACAGAAGGACTTCGAGGTATACAGCCTCGACGTGTCTCCCGATGGGACTCGATTGGCAACGGCTGGAGGCGACGGACACGTGAGGGTCTGGTCAACCGATGCCATCTACCATTCCGATCACCGAAACTACACCAAGCCGCGACAGCTATGCCACATGAGCCACCACCTGGGCACAATCCACTCTGTGCGCTTCTCCCCGAATGGCCGCTACCTCGCGAGCGGCGCCGACGACAAAATCATTTGCGTATACCACCTCGATAAAAGTCCCGCGACGACAGCTTTCGGAAGTAACGAGCCGCCGCCGGTCGAGAACTGGAAAACGTACAAGCGATTGATTGGCCATGACAATGATGTGCAGGATCTTGCGTGGTCCTACGACTCGTCCATCCTGGTTTCGGTCGGGTTGGACTCCAAAGTCGTCATCTGGTCAGGATATACCTTTGAGAAACTGAGGGTCTTGTCTGTGCACAACAGTCAAGTCAAAGGCGTCACGTTCGATCCGGCCAACAAGTTCTTCGCGACCGCGAGCGACGACCGGACCATCAAGATCTTCCGCTTTACACCCCCAGGTCCCAATGCTACAGCCACGGATATGGTTAACAACTTTGTTCTCGAGACGAGCATATCTTCCCCTTTCAAGAGTTCGCCCCTCACAACGTACTTCAGGCGGTGCTCCTGGTCACCCGATGGCAATCACATCGCGGCGGCCAACGCTGTCAACGGGCCGGTCAATTCTGTCGCCATCATCGAGCGCACGCGCTGGGACAGTGAGATCAATCTGATTGGACACGAAGGCCCGACAGAAGTCTGTCTGTTTTCGCCTCGATTGTTCCATACAGTTGACCCAGAAGATCGTTCAAAAAGTGAGGCAGAGAAAGCAGCGCTTGTAACCGTCATTGCTTCCGCTGGACAAGACAATACCCTGAGCATCTGGAACACAAATACCTCTAGACCCGTAACCGTGCTGGGAGATTTGGCAGGCAAGGCAATCACGGACCTGGCATGGTCCCCTGATGGTCAAACGCTATTCGCTGCATCGCTGGACGGAAGCATTGTTGTGACCCAGTTTCTACGTGGAGAGTTGGGATGGGTCGCTCGACCGGAGGAGAACGACCGTGCGCTATCCAAATATGGGGTGTCCAGGAAAGGCATGGGTATCGCGGAGGATGTGCAAGGGTTGGCTTTGGAGAACCACAGCAAGGAAGGCGAGTCCAGAGCCGTGGAGAACAGAATGGGTGCTCTCATGGGAGACGACAACTCTTCATCCGCTGAAGCCATCCCGACGACCAATGGTGGGAAGTCTATACCAACCCCAGCCACTAATGGGGAGGCAGCCCCTGAAAAGTCAGCAGATCCCGCAGAACCAACAAAACCAGCGAGCGAGACAGAAACCAAGGTCAAGGAGATGAAATCGCGGGTGACAGTTGGGAAGGACGGCAAGAAACGCGTGGCGCCAATGTTGGTGTCGTCGTCCGGAACAGGGCAATCGTCACTCCCACAGACGCAACTAGTTGGTGCAATCACGACGTCAAGAGGAAATCGCGACGACGCGCCGCAGACAACGCTTGATCTTTCACGGCCCTTTGACGGTTTGCCTAAAGGAGGCATCGCTACGCTGTTGCTGGGAAACAAACGGAAGTCCGTTGCAACAGGCGAAGAAGAGGGCGATGAGCCAGCAACAAAGCGGCTTCAGAACGGGGCTGCACAGATCGTGACAAACGGCCCCGACGGGACGGTTGAGCCAGCGTCTCTCACTCCGACACAACATGGCGTTGTCCCCACGCCCGAGTTTCTGCGGCCGGCCATACTAAGCCCGATGATATCAGTGGCCCAAACGCGGCTGGCTGTGCCCAAAATACGATCACATATCCTACGCCCATTGGAAAAGGGGACACTCAAAGAAGAGTCAACCTCGGAAGAAGCGTCAAAGGTTCCAGAGAACCTCATTCTCGAGGCGAAGAATGACCCAAGTCCCAAGGATCCCTCGCATGTCGTGGTGACTAAGAGGGGGGTCATCGTGTGGCAAGAGTTTCTACCAAGAGCAGTCATCCTAGTGGCCGCAAACAAGAACTTTTGGGTGGTAGCTTGTGAGGATGGGTCGATACACACATGGACCCCTGCGGGTCGGCGGCTGTTGAATCCAATGATCCTCGAAGCCCAGCCAGTCGTTTTGGAGTGCCGCGATCAATGGCTTCTCTGCATAACTTCAGTCGGACAGGCTCACGTATGGGACCTCAAGGCACAGTCGTCGCCGCATCCGCCTGTCTCGCTTGCACCTATCCTGGACATTGCTTCGACATCGCTCAACCAACATTCAGCAACTCCGGGACCTGGTGTTACGTCGGCGCACCTCAACTCTACTGGACACATCGTTGTCACGTTGACCAACGGTGACGGTTTTTATTATGCCCGAGACATGTACACTTGGCAACGACTGAGCGAATCATGGTGGGCGGTCGGTTCACAGTACTGGAACTCGAATGATTCGTCGATATCGGCATTGCAATCCACAGCAGTGGGCAGCAAATCGAAAGAGGACAAGGACAAGGACAAGGGCGAAGAGGGCGCTGTGAGCGTGTCGTCTGGCGTGATCCCGCACCTCGAGCGTCATACCACTAATGAGTTCCTGCTCAAGGGGCGCGCCTATGCTCTCCAGCGCATCATTAAGAACGTCATACAGCGCCGAGATGCTGAGGGCTTGGAGAGCAGTGTCAGCGTGGCGCACTTGGAGAACCGCATTGCGGGAGCTCTTCAGCTGGGGTCCAAGGACGAGTTCAAGCTATACTTGTATATGTACGCGAAACGACTAGGCGCTGAAGGGTCTAAGTTGAAGGTTGAGGAGCTTCTGAGCAATCTGATTGGAGGATTAATGAAAAGTAAGACGGATGACAAGGGTGGTCGCGGTTGGTATAGCACCGAAAAGGAGATCTGTGGATGGAATCGGGAGGATTTGCTGAAAGATGTGGTCATGATTCTTGGTAAGTGCAAAGCGCATACGACGTCGAAAAGGGAGAGCTAACGGAATCCGCGTAGGGAAATATCGAGAACTGCAGCGCCTGACAGTGCAGTACGCCCGATATCTGGATCTGGATCTAGAGGAGGCATCCGTCGATGCCGAGTCCATGGACGTGGAGTAGACCAAGCGTTCAGGGCGTACTTCTACAGAGTGCGTCTTCCTGTAGCCTTTTACAGCGTGGCCCATGAGGTCAGCAAAGCGATTCATGAACATGATGCTGCTTGTTTTCGGCCTGGTGGCGTTCGGAGTTGGGTCAACTTTCCATCATGTGGGATGATTGAGAGGTTTTGGTAATCTTTGAGGTTCAGACTTGTCTGTTGGGGACCCGTCATCCACAGGCTTGATTCCATGTAACCTGTTTTTTGTTTTGACTACTTCCTTATTTGTCCCTTCATTTAGGAGTTACGTTGCCTCGGCTTGCGACGGGATAAATAGTTCATCACACGACTAAATCACGCCAGCACTGGCGCTCTGCTATGGTGAACTAGCCTTGGCCTTGCATGTTCCACTTGTACAACGCCTCGAGGAATCCGACGGGCTCGAACATTTGCTCGACCGATGCAAGTGTTTATGCACAACGTTTGAAAGGCATTCTTGCAAACGCAGCTACCGGACGCCCCTTTTGTACACAGCTGCCGGTTTCTAAGCCTATGATGTGGGCGTCCACACCAACAAAGGACCGTTGGCAAATATCGTCGCGCCAGACCAGTCGGCTACAGCCTGCAGTTCCGCGATGTGATACAGTGCTATGCTGTGTAAGTCAGGCTGGAACTGGCGTGGCAAGATGTGCAGCAGGCAGTCCAGCAGTAGGCAGTCCAGTCATCGTGCCCAATTTTTGGTTGCCTTTTTCCCCCTTCTCGTCCAAACGTTGCCTCTCGCCTTCTTTCATGGACCAGCCTCGACCGGTCAGCGCCAGGTCACGTAGGCAACCTCCACCGTTCAGAGTATTCAAGTTGTTCGTAGCCTCCAATAGGGGGGAAACCCTTATCATTTGCACCCTTTACAGTCAAAGCACTCAAATTTCCACGTTGTGTTACAAAAAGTACCGTCGTAGCTGATAGCAGGAGGCCAGTCGAAAGAGGGGAGGCACACGCAAATTCCAGACGAAAGTCGGGGCGAAGCATTGACTGGCACAACCCTCAGCGTGACCTCACCTTTCCCTGGGTGGTCGTAACAAATGAAAACAACCCCCCCTCATCTCTGCGTCCTTGATCTGCTGTTCCCTCTTCTCGCATCTGAGTAACCTTCGTCTTTTATTCCACACGTCAACAACTGCTGCAGGCACCGATCTATGGCCATCGTAATGATTGCTACTCTCTATTCACTCTCAACCTCTTGAACTCTCTTTCCTCAAGATCTGCCGCTTCGAAACCATTCACTGCACCCGACTAACCGCTCACTACTTACTGACGATCGCCTTTCATTCCGCATCCAACCCGGCACTCCGGCTCATTATTGAATTGTCAGCAAGACTCTCAACTTCAGATCTTCCTCTAGCTCGCCCACTTGAGGTAGTCTGTCTTCCCAAAGTCGCGCCACGCCTCGTCTGTCTTTCAGCATGAGGTTAGCAACACCTTTTGCCCTCTCTCAGACCTTGCTTTTGGTATCGGCTGCTATTCTGTCCAGCTCCAGAGGCATCAAAGCTTGCAACAACTGGAAGGCGAGTCCTGTCCAAGCCAAGTTGGAGGATACGTCTCTTCGCGCTGCCATCATCGCCCTCATAGACGAACCAGACCTTCCACGCATCATCGACACTGTCGTACAGCTGGAACGCTCGTTCAACGAGGAATACGAGTACGACTGGATTTTCTTCAGCTCTACGGATCTGAGCGAGACTTTCCGCCGCCAGACGTCTAATGCCACCAAGTTCACCTGCTTGTATGAGATCATCTCCAATGAGCACTGGCGACGCGCCAGCTCGGCTGTCTCTGCGTAGGACCAGAGCACCGATGAAGAGGCGTCGGTAGCTGCACTACACATGGAGTCTCAACACTGGAATCCAGCATTTCTTCTTCGTGAGCAGCGAATGAGGGACTATGACTGGTTCTTGAGAGTTGAGCCTGGTGTAAGTCCAGCCTCAACTATCAGTGCATAATGTGCTAACCATGATTAAAGGCACAGTTTCCCCGCCCCATCGGCTTCGATGTCTTCCGTTTCATGCGCGACAACGGCATTGCGTACGGTTTCACGGAGTCGGCGTTCAACTACAGCAGCCTGGAGACTCTCTCGCCGCAGATCAGAGCTTTCATGGAGAACAACCCACACCTGCTTCACCAAGACGCCGATCTCGGCTGGCTCCTGAACACCGCAACGAGGTCTGCAGCTGCGGAGGGCCTGCCCGAGACACACGGTGAGAACCTTGCCTTGGGCATTGAGGCTGAGTACAAACAGAAGTGCAATCGAAAGTGCTTGAGCAAGGATCCGCCAACGGACTCGTTCGCAGATGCATTCTCCGCTTGGCTGAGCAACCTGTACCCCCCTTCCTTTGAGCTCGGATCCACTGGTTTCCTCCGCGGTGAAAGTCATCAGGCACTAATGAGCCACCTTGAGAAACTCGATGCGGTGTTACAGTACAGCCCAGTTCGTGACGTACCGATCCTCACCTTGAGCGCAAGCATGTTTCTGCCCAAACAAAGCGTGTGGAACTTTCGCACGAAGCTGACAGGCTACGTAGCTGCGAGACCAACGCCGACACCTGCACCACTCCTGGCGGTGGACAACCGGGATACGGTCCCATTCGACGGGCACGAATTGGCACAAGCTGCCATGCTGGAGCAACATGAGCTTTGGGACCAAATGGCTGTTGACGTGACCAGGCACTCACTTTCGCCAGGGCTGATATCGGGGAACACAGTTGTGAATGACCGGACGTTCCGGTTTTCGCTCATGATGGGAGAGGCCTTCGTGCTACAGGAAAGTGGCGCCGAGAAATGAAGCAACTGGTGGTGCCATCGACAAGTAGGAAAGGGGGGCGAAATGGTATGGTTTCTACAAGGGCATGCCGCCGCTGAATGGGCGAAATCTTTAGGCCATTGTCAGTGCAAATACTTCCGGCACTAACCTGACGTCCTCAAATCAGAATTATGTTGTTTTCACACCGAGCAAGCGCGTGCGTGCTGGCGCTTTCGGGGCGCACCACGTTCAACTGTATGGTAACTACTGCTGATGAGTCACACTGCCTTGCGTTGCTCCTTGTCTCGCCACTGTGTGAGATATGACGGGTTTTTGTCTCCTGAGATCGCACCAACTTCAGGTTTGTGGAAGGCTTCCTTGCCCAGATGCAACGTGTGGGATGTTTACGCGGGAACTTGACTTGTGGAGAGCAAGGACTGAAACGTGGAGGATCTGCAACGAAGGGCTGCGTGAGCCCACAGCTGGCTGGGGTTTTGATGGCCAGCAGTTCCGGACTTGACAAAGGGCCACTCATGTTGCCTAGAAAAGCTAGACCTGATCAGGGGGCCAGTCAAATAAATAGTGTATGAAGTGATCGCACTCTCGAGACGCCTACTAATTAGTATCCCACGGGATGAAGGTTCAGGCCACAAGACAATTCGAAAGTGTTGACTTGTTTGCTCCCATGGGTATCTAGTGTCTGCTTTCTCGTTATTGCTATCTTCCTCGCCCGAATGCGCAGTACGTACTCCGTACGAAGTAGGGGAATTGCTTGGCGTCTTCAGGCCGGGTAGGTAGTCCAACGGGACTGAGACAGGCTACAGGTGGAGACGGATCATTGATCACGGACAAAGAGCCCTGAGCTTTGCGAATGCTTGCTCGGGTCATTTGCGAATACGACCGGCAGACAGCTACAGTGTAAACTTGAAAATGCGCACATGAGGGTCCGCGAACCAGGAGACGACATGAGCGTCTAGCATGTGGCATGCCCGCGGTATCGATAAATGTACTGTCGTGGCAAACTGGAAGCTGCCCCCTGAAGATGAAGAGCTAAGGCGGTCCTACGGGGGCTTAGTTCGCTTGGCATTCCAAGAGGCGACCACCCACGATCTAAAATCAGACAAACCAAATCCAGCTGGTCGACCGTCAACACACGTTTCTTTCCCTGGCCAGTTTACATCCCTTCCCCTATACTCGTCCCTCTCTAAGCTTGCTTTATTCATTGCTACACTGTCTTTTCCTCGTGCGACTATAGAATAGCGACGTTCCACCCTGATCATCGTCACGCGTCGTGTCGCGCGCTTCTCTCGACACTTTTTTTCCCGCCTCCTTAATCACCCTCGAGCCAAAGGTCCAGTCGTTGCAGTAAGACCGACAGCCGGATACTACTGTACTACACGTTTGGCGGGATCGCGACGCGTAGCATACGGCTTTGATTGACGGACATCTTGGTTCTTGATCGATCTGTCCAGCTCTTGCGCTGGCGCCCTCGCCATGACGTTCCTCACGCCCCTCATCAGGAGGGGCGGCTCCTCTTCGAAGAGAGCTTCCCTAATCACAGCAAGTGTACCCCTTCTTGTCCAGAGCGTGGGCGTCTGAGCTAACTGTTGTCTAGCTGACGGTCCAAAATTCGGCTCTCATACTCATCATGCACTACTCAAGGATCATGCCTTCGTCAGGCGACCATCGATACTTTACCTCGACAGCTGTCTTTCTCAACGAGCTTGTCAAGCTCTCTCTCTCTCTTTGCCTGGCGATCAACGAAACCTCGGAGAGTCTCGCGCCCGACACACCCATTACGACCCTTCTCGAGCAAGTATATAATAGCGTTTTCGGAGGCGACGGGTGGAAACTGGCGATCCCAGCGGCTGGGTATACACTACAGAACCTGCTGCAGTATGTGGCCATCAGCAACCTGGACGCTGTGCAATTCCAGGTGCTCTACCAACTCAAAATTCTCACGACGGCCATCTTCAGCGTGACCCTGCTCCGGAAGCAGCTGGGTACAAAGCGGTGGTTGTCGCTGGTGGTGCTGACGTTGGGGGTTTGCGTGGTCAGCATGCCAACGAACATGACGGGCTCGTTCCTCAGCGACACGAGCGATAGCTTCTTCCCTCGATCGATACACGACATGGGCACCGCCAGCCCCGAGCTCTACGCGCCCAAGAATCTGAGGAAGCGATCAGCTACGTATCAAGGGGTCACTGAGGACCTCGGTCCCCCTGAGCCGACGATGAATTATTCGGCCGGCGTCATTGCTGTGCTTGTGGCGGGTGCTGTGTCGGGTGTCACCGGTGTCTATTTCGAGAAGCTCATCAAGGAAGGCCCGTCGCAGCCGAGCTTGTGGATTCGGAATGTCCAGCTATCGACGTACTCGCTCATCATGGCCTTTTTCATGGGGATCTTGTACCAGGATGGCACTGGCATTCGCGAGCACGGGTTCTTCGAGGGATACAATTGGGTTGTATGGACGGCCGTCGTGCTGCAGGCCGTGGGCGGCATGGTAGCGAGCGTGGTGATTCGTGATGCAGACAACATTGTCAAGAACTTCGCCACAAGCATCAGTATTGTGCTGAGCTTGCTTGTTAGCGTGTTCCTCTTTGACTTTCGATTGACATGGACGGTGAGACGCTCTGAGTTCCAAAATCTACAGAACACTTTGGCTAACGGTGGACTAGTATGTCATTGGAACTGGAATGGTGCTGCTCTCAATGCACCTGTATAGCACGCCCCATCGCCCGATACCAGGTCACCGACCGAAACCCATTCGAATCGTCAGCTTGGAGAAGCCGGCGGTTACGCCTTTGCACACACCTCGCCTTGGGGTACCGTCGCCACACACAGCGTCGCCCCGTATCCGGCCTTTCGACGCCTCAGGAAGGACGCATCTTGATCCTTTTGATATGAAGGGTTTGGGCTCGACATCGAGTCGACCAGAAAGCCCCATGTTGCCGCGCATTCCGAGTCGCAGTGATATCAAACGAGCCGACTGAGTAGTTATAAGACATCTCTCTTCCTCAGCGGGAGTGAGCCCGCCGTCTCATAATATAGAGAGACTGGCGTCGGACATGGAAAAGTACACATTATGAGATACGAAAGCTTGGATCTAACGTAGATGTCGTCATTAATCATGGTACTATGGCACAATACCATACTGTTCGTGCCCCGGCACTCTTCAGATCTATGTCTTTGGCACTTCTGATATATATGGCCCTTTCTTGGGCATCCATTGTGTGGCTCCTTGTCCCTTTTGGTTGATATCGCTATACGCCCCGCGATGAGGTGGCCTCACATGATTACTTCGTTGGCAACGTCCTGCTCAAATAATTAGCGACTATTTCATAGGCACATACCACGGCAAGACTCACCCGCTTCAGCTCTTTGTATGGCAAGCAGACACAATTCTGCACGCGCACCTCGTCGCCAACGCCGCAGTCCTTCCCCAAGATCGTGATGCTCTGTACTTTGACGCCGTTCTTGATAATGCTCGTCGAGTGGCTCCCCACAGGAGTAGGGGTTCCCTCCACGCGCGCCCATGCCCCGACGCGGCTACCCCAGCCAATGATGGAGTACAAGACGCATGCATCGTGCTTGACCTCGCAATCCTCGAGAACAATCGACTCCTTCACGCGCGCACCGGCCCCGATGACCGCGCGAGGCCCGATGGACACGTTGGGCCCTAGCTTGGCGGTGGGGTGGATCTCGGCAGTTGGGTGGATGAAGACAGGCGCGACGAGGTTGGCACTCGGCTGAGCCAGTTCCTCGCTGCCAGCTTGCCATGCGCGTTGCAGGTACAGTGCGTTTGCCGGCACGGCCGAGCCAGCGGTCTTGATCTGTCGCCAAAAGTCTTTGGTCTCGTAGACGAAGAACTGCTTGCTGTCGGCCATGTCACCCAGGATATCCTGCTCCAGGCGAATCACCTGGTTCTTGCGCTCCTCGTCGTCGTCGTCGTTAAGCCCCGACGAAGCAGGGTGGAAGGTCTCAAGGTTGTCGGAAGAAGGGTAGGAAACAAGGCGGGCGGGGCGGTCGGTACGACGCTTGATTGCAGACTTGATGCTGGGAAAGATGGCCTCGGTGGCAAACAGGTAGACACCGCAGTTGATCAGGTTGCTGATGCGGGACTCGGGCTTCTCGACGTAATGCAGGACGCGACGAGTGTGCGCATCCGAGACGATGCAACCAAAGTTTGTGGCAGCATCGTCGCTTACGCGCGTGCCCAAGATGACTGCCTCTGCGTCCTTGTCGTCAAAGAGCTTGAGCATCTCGCCCAGGGGAAAGCTGCAGCAAACGTCGGCATTGAGGACAAAGAGACGGTCTGGGCGCCCCTTGAGGATCGCATCGCGAAAGTGGTACAGGCCGCCAGCGGTGCCGAGAGCCTCGTATTCGCGGAGGTACTTGATCGAAGAGAGGTTAGGGAACTCCTTGGTCGCATCCTTGATGAAATCCCGAAAAACAGTCTCGTCATAGTACCCGATGATGTTGACGTCTTGAATGGAACCAACAGCCGCAACGGCAGCGAGACAGTGCCAGATGATGGGGTGACCGGCGACTTCGAAGAGAGGTTTTGGTACGTCGAGGGAGAGAGGGCGAAAGCGAGTACCGCGCGAGGGGCCGCCAACCTAGATACAATCAGCATTGCTCGCCACGAGCTACCTGTCCGTGCTAACATACGAGGATCACAGCTTTTGTCGAGCCGCCTTTGGAGCGGTGAGCCATTGGTACTTGGAGAGACATGGTGAAACTTGACGCGTGCTTTTAAGGTTTCTGAGGATGAGAAGAAATCAAAAACGCCTTGGTTCTTCGCTTTTTGGAAAATGAAAAGGCGAAAGGGGCCAGCTGGCGTCGTCGAGGGGTCGGTTGGGATGTTGGAGGGGACTGGTCGCATTTGGCATGACAGGGGACGGGCAACGACAGCTGCAAATACGTGGGGCAGCCATTGTGGCCTTACATACTGCTGTGGCGCAAGCTCTCACCAGCCACATTACAGGGGTTGAGTGAGCCCCTTGAGGTCGCACCTCTTGTTTATCTCTTTGGCCTGTGAACGGATGTTAAGCATTCTCAGGCGCATCAGCGTAGTGTGAAGAACCACGCACCTTCTCCTTTGCAAAGCTGCAGTAGGCGTTTTCTGCTGAACTATTTATTCTTTCACGTCGATTATAAAACCCTAGAGACGCCCTGTGTGTCTCAGGTAGTTCCGCACAAATTATACATTAACAGGAGTGATCACCTTGCCGAGCTGCCTCAGAGCTGCAGAATCTGGGGTTTGCTATGCCAGACAGACCCTTCATCTTCAGGCTCACATTCACTTCACCTCAGCACATCATTCACTCAAGCTCCTTCATGCCTTTCGTTTGTTAAATTGATCAGCTTTTCTTTAACAGAGACAAGATAGTTCTTTGCTTTCTCAACTGCAGCACACTTTCCTTTCCGTACCAAACTGAGATTCTACAACAGCAACCTTGATTTCCCTATTTTCCTTGAACCTTTCACTCTCGCTCAACCAACCCTTCTGAAGCACAAAGCACAATACAGTCAGCAGCAATCTGGCTTTATGCCCCAAAATCTGTGTCAGCTTCACTCAACAGCATATGGATAGGGGCCCGATGCTCCTTAGCGATAAGTCTGCCCACACTACTGCAGGCTTGGAGAGTCTACAACATGTCATACGCCGAGTCGTCAAGCTCAGCCAACGGCATCAAATCAGAACCAGGCGTCAGGAATTCGAGCCTCGCAGTGCAGGGATCTACCACCACTGGCAGCTCTCTCAACCATGATGAGGCAACGATTGAGAATGGCAGCACAAACGGCGGATCATTCATGGTGACGGTCGGCACGCCCTTCCGTGTTGGACGATCAGATGCACGTAAGTACTTTGATGAGTCAGGCTGTTTTTTTATTTTCTTTTTTAACAAATGCAAGCAGCACCCCCAAGCGAGCGTACCGATGAGTGCGAGCCAGAGCCTATGCTTAGAGAGCTCAGGATGAGGCCTACCCACGTCAGCATTGACAGTCCAGCTGTCCCCGAGGAAGTTTTCGGCTTTCAGGATTCTTTCCATGGCATCGGCAGAAAGATCAAGGCCCACAATGACACACTCGGCGAGCTACAGGCGCTCGGCGTGTCTCATGACGTGCCGCTGCCTGAGCTCGTGCTAGTCGGCGATCAATCTGCTGGAAAGTCGAGTGTTATGTCCGGGCTGGCAAACCTAGATCTGCCACGGTCTGAGGGTACGTGTACGCGGTGCCCATTGCACATACGCGTGTCCAAGAGCAACGATTGGTCTTGCCGTGTCTCTCTGTCGAAGCAATATCGTTACGATCCCCCAGATACCGCTATTGTCGAAGACGACGTGACGGATGCGAACCCGTTCTTCCCGTGGCGCCGGCTATCGAACGTGCAGATACTGGAGTTCAAGACCGTGCACGATAAGTCGGAAATCGAAAGTCTCCTGCGATGGGCCCAGGTGGCCATACTCAACGATAATCACAGCCACCAGCAGTTCATCCCTGGGTCGGGTGCCATTGCAATGAATGTACCCATTGACCAAGCACAGGCTGAAACGGTGGCCAAGTTCTCACCTAACGTTGTGTTTCTGGAGATCAAGGGACCCGGAATGCCAAACTTGTCCTTCTACGACATGCCAGGTATTTTCCAGAACCCGGCGGATGCGAGTGACCAATACTTGGTCAAAGTTGTTCAGAACCTTTCCAAGTTTTACATCCGTCGCCAGTCCGCCATCATCATCTGTTCTATGCCTATGAACACCGATGCAGAGAACTCGTGCACTTTTGGCTTCATCCGCCAGCTTGATGCCACGCGCCGCACGATTGGTGTGCTCACCAAAGCAGATCTCCTATCGGGTGATGCTGACCGTAGCCAGTGGCTTAGGATCATGAACGGAGAGGCCCACACTGTCGGTCTTGGTTATTTTATCACATCTCGCAAGAATGGGAAGGATCTCGACGAGCTGATTCAGTGGGAGGCCGCCATGTTTGATCATCACACGACTGAGTGGCCTAGTGAATTTCACGTCTTCGCGTCCCGCAGTGGTGTTGAGAAGCTGAAGCACTTCTTGTCGGAGCGCCTTGGGGAGCAGTTTGCCAAAAGCCTGCCCAGTATTGAAGAGAAAGTGCGGGGAAAGCTGGACCGAGTCCTCAGCGAGCTGCGAAGTCTCCCAGACGTGCCCGACAATGTAGAGCTCGAGGTCCAGCGGAGCCTGCAGAAGTTCAGTGACGCTGCGAGGAAGAGTATCGAAGACTTTATGAAACACTTCGACAACGACCCCAAGGAGTTCAGCGAGTGCATCCTGGGCATGTATCCCCGATTCATTCTCAAAGACGTGTCGGATGCCCCTACCTTGGTGATTTCGGACGACGAGGATGATAGCTCTGAGCCTGCCGCTCCGACTCCTACAGGCGCTGGAACACCGTCTCACAAGCGGCATCGCATGGCCCCTCCGGTGACGCCCTCAAAACGCACACGGTTAACTCCGTCGGAAGCACCTAGGTCTGGCAGGTCGTCACATTCCGTCAAGCCCGAAGATTCCGATGGGGCCACCAACGGAAGACCGTCCCGAGCTGAGCACGGATCTCAACCACCCAGGGCTGGCTTGGCAGCCCCAACATCAACATATGCCAGCTTCGCCAAAGTGAATCGCGGATTCAGGACTCTACGCGGGGTACGAAGCGACATAAGGGCGCGCAGCCAGGCTGGCGTGCCAAATCACATACCTCTCGAGGTCAAGGAGGATCTGGCACTTGAGGCTATTGCGCCTTGGGATGGGCCTATGGATGTTTTCCTCAGCCTGACCATAGCGAAGCTTCATAGAGCCTTTAAAGAGGCACTCGAGAGCACCTTTGCCGGACTTCGACAGCGGGTGATCTTTGCCGAGTGCGAGAAACAGGTCGGGACATTCCTAGAAGGTCACAAAAGGACTATCAGGGAGCACATGGTGCAGGTCTACCGGGACGAGAGCTGCAAGCTCATGACCTTTAATAGCGCCACCTTTACTCAGTACGAGACGGAGGAGTTACACCTCCTAGAATGGTTCCGTCACAAGATGCGCATGGAGGCCCAGGGTGTAGCCTCAAAATCTACGGGCAACAAAAACTGGGATAGCATGAGCGAGCAAGAACGACGCACCGAGAGCGAGACGCGCAAAGCCGAGATTGCTAAGATTGGCGTGGACGACTTTGACCGCGAAATCAAGGTGATTGCGTACGTTAGAGGCTACTATCGCCTTGCCGGTCTGCGGTTCGTCGACAGCATCGCTCAGTGCGTGCTGTGTCGGTTGATCCCCAATTTGCAGGAGCAGCTGCCACTGTACCTGAATGAGCGACTCGGGCTGATCGGCCGTGGTGGCCAGGACATCAACGCCATCTACGCGCGCCTTTTGGAGGAGGACCCTGCCATGGCTGCGCGACGCGAGGTGTTGAAGAAAGAAAAGGCCAAGTTTGAGAAGGCCATGGCCAGCATCGAGATGCTGAACAGTGCGGCCGCCGAGGACAGCGAGGGTGGCCTCACGCACGTGTCTGAACACCGCGATGACGACACGGTCATGGGTGATGGCGGTGAAATTGAAGTGTAATGGAAATTTGATGTGCGGATTGACCGGCTTTTGTATCAATATTGGCGGTTCTGTTTGTGTGTCTGGCTGATGCGGAACGCACCACCCGAGGATATTTGCGATTTTGCAGGATTTACAGGGAGACTAGACCATGCTCACGAGGAGTGGTCAGTCCGAACATTGTGCGCAAAGTTTGCTGTGAGCCGATGGCACAGTCTTTCCGAGAAAATACCCAACTGTGGATGGACGGGTACTAGGTACTAGTTTAGACGGCAACGACTCTTTTGTTCTTTGTGATCTTCTCAGTCGGTCCCATTCACTTGCCACGGCTTTTGCTTACAAGACTTGCAGATCAGACAGTCGCGTACGGAGATGCATGGTATCATACTCATTATGAAAGACTGATGCTGCAAAACTACTCTCAGCGCGCGCGCTCCCACCCGCACACCATAGAAATCAAAGTGCGTTGTGTATATACCATCCACCCGACGCAGTCCACGCCACTCCAGCTACAGGAATCCTGGGGGTGCTTAGGACATGCTCTTGTTGTCAAAGCGCTCCTCCTGGTGGTGCAGCTGCATCTCCTTCTCGATCTGCTCAAAGTCAATGTGAACCACGGTGGCGCTGTCGCCGTCAAAGATGCGAGCAATCTCCTCGAGGGTAGGGCCCTTGGTCTCGGGGTAGACAAAGTAGACGAAGATGAGCTCGAGGGCGTCCCAAAGCGTGTAGAAC